GGTTTTCCTTTAAGCACCACACAGTAGCTCCTTTATTATTATTTTTTTAAAGAATTTTATAATTTAAGTAGTGAGGAGTTATTTGAAATCGCATGTGCCGAGGCGTCACCGGTGATCCTGGTGACGCCTCGGCGTTAAATGGTTAAAAACTAAATGAAAACAAAGTGCGTCAATCCTGACCAAGACGTGCAGGCCTGAGAAACGAAACAAGGATTCATGTGGTTTCCGTATAGCCTATAAAATGACACATTTTCTCCAGAACCAGAGAGGACACAAACTCAATACATCTCTTTTATTGTGAAGTAATAATTTCTCCGGGTTTTGCGGTTGCGGACGGGAGTGGACATGCACACTGCGGGTGCGGGCGAGAGTGTAACACACACATTGCAGTTGCGGGCAGTAATGGTCAGAAATTCAGCGGGAGCGGGCAGGAGCGGGATGAAGAAAACATTCCCGCGCAGGGCTCTACATCAGACCCACGTGACCGCAGAGCTAGCTCCGTGGAAAGGCCTCAGTAGAGCCTCGGTCTGGCCTGGAAACTGTTTCGGGATTTTGAGTCTCTCTGTTTGTGTATTCTGTTTTGAATATTATTTGTGCAATTGTTGGACAAAATGACTTGGCATTAATTGCATTAATAGAGCATCCAAGGAGTCTCCACTTCATTTTTTTCGGTAAGTTAAATTATATTTATGTATTTTAGGTCACTGTCGCCTTTAAACTAGCTGAGTTTATCGAAGTAGCTAGCTAACTATCATTTTAACATGTAGCAAGTACTGTTTAACCATGAAATTTAGATGTAAAATACGGTAAAATAATTAATAGGGCATATGTCGATGGGTACAAGGGTAAAACCCAGTGCATTTAACATCAAAATGGGTTGAAATATGACGGAGCTCTTGGAGGGACACTTTTGTGTTCCATTCTCCCACCCGGTTCTCCCCAGCGGTCAGCCCGGTGCATGTGAGACCGATGCGGCGCCTACTAGCTGCTGTGCGGGCTGACCGCTCGTGGAGCTCTCGGACGGAGCTGACCACTCGTGGAGCTCTCGGACGGAGCTGACCACTCGTGGAGCTCTCGGACGGGGCTGACCGCTTGTGGAGCTCTCGGACTCGTAGAGACCTGACCGCAGAAATCCTGCAGCTCAATTCCCTACCTAAATGCAAAGTTTGAGAGACGTGGTTCACTTAGGTCTGCACTGCCTTCGGGCTAATTTGTCAAGTTCACAAAATGTGGAATGGGATGTATGTTTAGAATCAGCGGCGAATCGGAACATATCTCGAAGCCCTGGCCGACGAAACGGTCCACGTGACTATTACTGTCAGGCTCGGAGAAAATTCGGGTTGTTTTTGTGTCAGTCGATTCTGCAACAGTGACTCTAACTAACGAAGCACTAGTTGACAGACATCATTACAGCGTGAAATCCAGCACAGCGTGACCCGGATCTGTAAGGAATTCTGTTCAGGAGGTCGCATTTCAGGCTCTCCACATCATATGTGACTGACTTTTACGTTATAATAACGATCACACACTAGGCATGTTATGTCGTATATTATGTCGTATATTATATCACATATTATGTCGATGGTCACTACAGACCCCCCTTGGTCAATGGCACAGTGGTCGCAGAAACCACCTGACGTTGAACATTCAGAGATATGAAGGACTCCTTTGAAGAAAGGCCCATGCAATGTTTCAGATGAAGGCAGAAGGAGTGAGGAAGCATTCCTCACGCCGGTGAAGTCAGGATCATATCCTGAGGAAGTTGGTTAAGTCAACAACTGTAGATTATTGTAAAGTATATCCTCGTGAAGGTAGCTATTTCAATAGCAGTTGATCATTGATCATTAATAATTAATAATTCCAAAGTATTTGCAAAAGGATAAAAGCAGCCTGTGTTCCCACACAGCGCAGAGCAGGATGTAGAAGGACGACCAGCCAGCAGGATCAGGTCCCCGGTGACTTTCAGGCGACCCATCAGCGCAGCAGGATCCAGACGTCCAGAACCATGAACAGGAGCTCCAGGCAGCAGGCAGCATCAGGTCAGCGAAGCATAGAGGTCCCCCAGGTAGCGAAGACCAATGGTGAAGCTCAGGAGAGGATAAGAGCAGACACAGCACGTGAGGGTAGACACACGACGATTGCGTCTGATGCAAATCAACAAACTAAAATAAACCTGGCACTATGAGTACCTGCATGTTCGAGGTGTAGCAATTATGTGAATTACCATTTTAAATGAAGAAATGCATGCAATACCTACGTGTAATGGAAACAGTGATGCAAAAAGCATAAAATTAATAAAACTCTATACTGGTATGAGAGAAATCACTGCACTAATTAAATTCTTTATCAAAATGAAGGGCAAAAATTGGTTGTAGCCCATTAATGGTAAATTAACAAAGTTAATCATAAAATTATCAAAACTTAATCATTGTAATAAAAGTCTATAAAAAGATAGATATGTAAGTGTCAAAGAGCACTAAAGATGTAAATCAGTGAAGTTAGTAATCCCTACATGTGAATGTACTCACAAGGACTCAGGATTAGTAAAACTGAAGCGCAAAATGTTTCTGATCATCAAACACATGTAACCATTAGTCAAAGATAACACAAGTAAACACAAAATGCATTTTTGAAACGATGGTTTTTATTATTTAGGGAGAACAAAATCCAAACCTACATTGCCATGTGTGAAAAAGTAATTGCCCCCCTTGTTAAAAAATAACCCAACTGTGGTGTTTCACACCTGAGTTCAATTTCTGTAGCCACCCCCAAGCCTGATTACTGCCACACCTGTTTCAATCAAGAAATCACTTAAATATGAGCTGCCTGACACAGAGAAGTAAACCAAAAGCACCTCAAAAGCTAGACATCATGCCAAGATCCAACGAAATTCAAGAACAAATGAGAACAAAAGTAACTGAGATCTATCTGTTTGGTAAAGGTTATGAAGCCATTTCTAAAGCTTTGGGACTCCAGCGAACCACAGTGAGAGCCATTATCCACAAATGGCAACCACATGGAAAAGTGGTGAACCTTCCCAGGAGTGGCTGGCCGACCAAAATTACCCCAAAAGCGCAGAGACAACTCATCCGAGAGGTCACAAAAGACCCCAGGACAACTTCTAAAGAACTGCAGGACTCACTTGCCTCAATTAAGGTCGGTGTTCACGACTCCACCATAAGAAAGAGACTGGGCAAAAATGGCCTGCATGGCAAATTTCCAAGATGCAAACCATTGTTAAGCAAAAAAAAACATTAGGGCTCGTCTCAATTTTACTAAGAAACATCTCAACGATTGCCAAGACTTTTGGGGAAATACCTTGTGGACTGATGAGACAAAAGTTGAACTATTTGGAAGGCAAATGTCCCGTTCCATCTGGCGTAGAAGTAACACAGCATTTCAGACAAAGAACGTCATACCAACAGTAAAATATGGTGGTGGTAGTGTGATGGTTTGGGGTTGTTTTGCTGCTTCAGGAACTGGAAGGCTTGCTGTGATAAATGGAACCATGAATTCTACTGTCTACCAAAACATCCTGAAGGAGAATGTCCGGCCATCTGTTTGTCAACTAAAGCTGAAGCGATCTTGGGTGCTGCAGCAGGACAATGACCCAAAACACACCAGCAAATCCACCTCTGAATGGCTGAAGAACAACAAAATGAAGACTTTGGAGTGGCCTTGTCAAAGTCCTGACCTGAATCCTATTGAGATGCTATGGCATGACCTTAAAAAGGCGGTTCATGCTAGAAAACCCTCAAATAAAGCTGAGTTACAACAATTCTGCAAAGATGAGTAGGCCAAAATTCCTCCAGAGTGCTGTAAAAGACTCGTAGCAAGTTATCACAAACGCTTGATTGCAGTTATTGCTGCTAAGGGAGGCCCAACCAGTTATTAGCTTCAGGGGGCAATTCCTTTTTCACACAGGGCAATGTAGGTTTGGATTTTGTTCTCTTCCTAAATAATAAAAAACATCATTTCAAAACTGCATTTTGTGTTTACTTGTGTTATCTTTGACTAATGGTTAAATGTGTTTGATGATCAGAAACATGTTTTGTGACAAACATGCAAAAGAATAAGAAATCAGAAGGGGGCAAATAGTTTTTTCACACCACTGTATGTCTCTCATCTAGCTAGGAAACAGAGGAGGTGGCCCAGGTGGCTGAGGAGAGGATGTCTGGGCCTCCCTGCTTGTGACAGATCTTTTGCTGCTGTGGCCCCCAGACTCTGGAACTCCCTCCTCCTGAGATTGGTGGACTCAGTGGTCTCCTTTAAAAAGCAGCTGAAAACTCACCTGTTCAAACTTTTGTGTGACCTTCATCACCTCCCTCTCCTTGTTCTGCCCTGATAATTCCACCTTACCCAAGATCAACTGCTTTCCCTCTTTCCTGTTAATTTTCCCTTTTCCTTGCATTTCTCAATCACAATTCTTTATTTTTTTATTATGCTTTTTTTCTTCTAATTTTAACCTTTTTCATTATTTGAAGTTTTTTTGCATTTAGAATTGTTCTTGTGAAGCACCTCGTGATTTTTATCTTGAGAGGCGCCTATATAAAAGATCATTTTCCGTCTTTCTTTTGCTTATTTTGCTGCCCCCTGACCCGAGCCGACTCCGGATAAGCAGATGAAAATGGATGGATGGGTGGATGAAATAAATTATTTTGTGTGGAAATCATTTCCATTATTTATTTAAGAGAATTCAACAAATTATGTATTTGAGTGTGAAAAGTGTTTCCAAGACAAGAAGTTATTTTTAATTTACGTGCAAGTGGTTAAGTCATATCACTCAAATAAAAAAAAAAGAATCAGTGATCTTGGTTTTGAGTCAACAAAGTATAACAAATCTAAAGCACACATATCAATCGTACATTCCAGTTGAGGATTAGTTTATTTTATTTCAAACAGATAAATCCATTATAAAACAATAGAAAACACAATAAAAAGACAAAAAAGAGAAAAACATAAACAAAACATGTTTGTCTCTTTTATATAATAGACAGTATGTTGCCATTTCCAAAAAAGGAGTGGGATAAAGTATACACCTATTAAATCCCCCTTTTCTATGACTAGGCCACAACCTTATCATTAATAAAACATTGCTTCATTGCTTCACCTGGTGAAGGCCTGGGTGATTTCCCCTGCTGTTACTGTGTATTTAGTCTGCACTGCAGACGCCTGATCTCCAACTGACTTAATGGCACACGTCCAGCTGCAGTGGAGATAGCTCCAGCAGTAGGTCTTAGTACCACTTTCACAAAACAAAAACATTAAAATGATTTTTTTTCTGCTTCCATCTTGTTAAATAAATTCCTTTTTAATCCTCAAAAATTGGCAAAATCTTCTTTTTCTTCTTCTCCTCTTCCTTTGTTTATTCCAGCAGCAACACACTTGGTGAGACATGGCAGGCCATCAAAAATCTCCTTGTTCCCACTCCACCTGTTCAAAAAACTATTAATCTGCTGCTGTCCAATAAAAGGCTGGGCCCTCAGCGGGGAGCCAATAGGAAGGCATTAAAGCTGTGAGAACCAGGCCAATCCCAGGCTGCATTCTAATGTGGCCCATCTTTATCAAGGTGCCTCTCCGTTTCCAGATACGGCTTATTTATGATTTCTGAGGAGGGACCTGCAGGAGGCATGTGTCTGTTGTAGAGCATCACCACACAGCTTTCTGCCTGGAGGGCTCGCCTGACACTTCAAATATGGAGTTATCCCACTCCAAACTGTGGATAAAAGCTGCGGGGTGTGTGTAACTTCGACAGAGTTCCCGGACTTTTAGGACTGCTGCTGCTAGTTATTCCTGAGTTCTGGGGCGAAGCGTGCAGGTTCTAAATCTGGAGATCTCTTTCTTCAGCCTTCAGGTCTAGTCCGTTTTGGATCTCACTGGATGTGTTTCTGATACTCAAGGAAAGAGTTAGAGTACTTCCCATGGATCCGAACATCCAGGGGTCTTTCCTTTTCAACAACAGCCTGAACCAGTTCACCTCAGACCTCAAGGCACCGGTGTGCCAGTACTCAGTGCCCAACTCCTTCTACAAGCTCAGCCCGGGCCTCAACACCCAGCTGCAGCCGGGAACGCCTCACGGCATCAGCGACATTCTGAGCCGCTCCATGGTTGGAGTCGGCTCCACTGGCACCACCACCCTGCTGTCCGGATACTCCCCCATGGGGGGTTTTGGCCCCTCCGTCAGCAGCACATCCATGTACTACAACCGAGAATACAACCCGCCGCTGGGCGGTTTCTCCAAGACGGCAGCAGAGTGCCCGATGAAGGGTCGCAGTGTGAGCTGCTGGGCAGAGAGCAGCTGCGACTGGAGAGGAGGGAGGCAGCAGTGCACCAACAGTGAGTCCAACCGCTGTCTCAGCATCCACCTCCTCATCACACCAACACAAAGGATGCTACGCAGATCTGACCTAACCTCCCATACAACGGAATAACAGATTTACCTTTAGGCTCAATGTTGACTTTTTATTATAAATACATTATTAAAAGGTGAACTTCTGTCTTAAAATATTTCTTAATTCAGTTTTTACTTCACTGGAATGCGGCTGATTTACCGAACGAGACTCAAAAATACTAAAAGTATTTAGTTATACAAGTATTTTCACAAATTGCTGCATTTCGGTAGGAACACTTGAACTTTGTAAGGTTTTCTGATTTTGATTCCCAGGTGGAGGCCCTCTTGGGGAAATTCCCAGCAGAAAGAAACACACCAGACCAACATTTAGCGGTCATCAGATCTTTGCTCTGGAGAAAACCTTCGAGCAGACCAAGTACTTGGCCGGGCCGGAGAGAGCGAGGCTGGCCTACTCTCTGGGAATGACTGAATCACAAGTTAAGGTGGGGATCGTGGATTAGTTTTAATCAGTCTTAGATGTGGTGGAAGTCTCACAATAGATGTTTGAAGATTTTTAACCTGTGCAGTGTCTCGTGTGTGTGTGTGTGTGTGTGTGTGTGTGTGTGTGTGTGTGTGTGTGTGTGTGTGTGTGTGTGTGTGTGTGTGTGTGTGTGTGTGTGTGTGTGATTAGTCAGGTCCTTAATAAACAACATGTCACATGGAAGCTATAAGGATCCAAAGCAGGTTACTGTATCCACTCTCGTAACTCTTCTGAATTATCTTCAAACTTTGTGCAAACCTTCACACCCGCGTGTGTGGGTCAGGTGTGGTTTCAGAACCGACGCACCAAGTGGAGGAAGAAGAGCTCCTTGGAGCCGAGCTCCACTCAGGCGAGCCTGCCAGGTCAGGGCGGGGAGGCCTCGGACAACGAGGTGGAGGACGAGGAGTACAACAAGCCCCTGGACCCCGACTCTGATGACGAGAAGATCCGGCTGCTGCTGCGTAAACACCGCAGGGCTTTCTCAGTCCTGCGCCTCGGGCCGCACCCCGTCTGACACGCGTCACACAGAACCCACACACACTTACACACTCCTCCTCTGCAACCATGCATGTAGTCATAGAAACATTTTCTTTTGCTTATAAAAACTAACCAGTAAGCATGTGCAAAAAAAACAAAAAAGGGCCTAACAGCACAAAAAAGGACAAAATGTGAGTTTCAAATGTTTGAATAATAAAGTGTCCTGCTGTCACATGGGTAAACTGTCCTGTGTACCTGATTTTTGAGACATTCTGAGACAAATCTGCATTCAATTACTGGTCAAGGTTTCTGCTTATATATTTTTAAGATGGTTTCAAAATAAAAGCTGTAAAATATGTGGAATATGTTACAAAACACCTTAATTTAATTACCTACTCGAGATTAAAGAATAAAACTTACTTTTGCTTGTAAAAGAAAGGACAAATCAGCCTCGTTCAGTCTAAATATTTGAGGGAAAAGAGAAAAACCTAATCAAACATATTTGTGATCATCTGTGACCTGCAGGATGCACAGCTTGGATAAACCTTTACAGCTTTTCTTTTTATTTTAGGGAATACTCTCAAAACGTTTTAAAAGTACACAGTAAAACCTGAAATTGTGTGAGATGATTGATTGTTCTTTATCAGACGTTTTTCACTGTAAATAAACAAAACTAATAAAACTATACAACATGTAATTTGGCTGTATCTTGTCGGTTCAAACCAAACGGTGGACTGAAAGGGCATGGGAGCAGGGGTTAAAGGTCAAATCTAAGGTGATTTAATGGTGATGTTTGGTTTAATTGAAGACAATGACCCCTGCAGCCCAGCAGGATAGGAAATCAATAGCAGCAAAAACGTTTGTTTTAGGGTTTTGTGTTTTTTTTTTTCAACATTCAGTTGACAGAAAATATTGTAAAATACAGGAGAGCCGTGGAATGCTGCAGGGCCAGAGTAGCATCACAGAGAATAAAGTAAAGAAACTGGAAGAAATAAAGTCATAAACAGCTCAGGATGTCAGATCTTCAACATGACAGGATATTTTTGTTTATTTTCTTCAGTAAAATAAACAATTAATTCAACTGAAAATGAATCTTTTTGCTTCCTTGAATGCCTTTCTATTTAATTTTAAAACGGTTTCATTTCAGTTCGTGAAAAATAAAAGACAACTAGTCCTCCCACAGAACGGGTGCCGATGAGAAACAGGAAGTGGGAAATTAACTGGCTCAGGGATAAGCTTCGGGGAAAAACAAAGGTAACATGCAAAATAAGGAGTGGGAGGAAAAGTGGAAAGGAACCAAATATGGAAAATGTGGAGATGAAAACAAATTATATGAAAACTAAAGGAAAAGAGACATTTCCTGGAGGGGATTTATATATAGATATACACACACCTAAAACAAAAACTAAACAAAACGTGTTTTATATAGATACAACACATTTAGTTTAGTTGCTTTGTAATTTTATCTGGTTTTAATTTTCCAGATAATCCTTTTGCATTTTCCTTCCTTCCACAAACTATTTTACTGAGAGCAAAGCGTCTCTACTGAGAGTCGACCAACTGGTTTTTCTATTGCGATACCGATTCATTTATGTGTATGTGTGTATACACATATATATATATATATATATAGATATATATATATATATATATATATATATATATATATATATATATATATATATATATATATATATATATATATATGTATATATGTACATATGTATGCACACACACACACACACATATATATATGGGACGTATGGTCAGCCGAAGGCCGGTGTGTACTGCAGATTTTATATCCAGACGTTTTCCACCTTATTTTCATGCTAAAATGTCACTAATAACATCCATTCATGCACAAGATTTCTGAAGCCGAATCACTTTTTGAACACTGAATTTAACTAACTTGTTAAATCTTAACATTGTGCACTTCTCAGCGTTAAAGTCAGACACCTAAATAAAGTTACTTTAGAGTATTTATTATGCAAATGTTACATTTAAATTAAATTCTGCAACAACACCGGGAATGTGCCTGACTTTAAATTGACTTTAAGGACAAATATCGGCTGATACCCAGATATTAAAAATAGTAAATATCGGCCAACCGATGAGTCGGTCTACCCCTGGTCTGAAATCATAAATGCCACTGCAACACGATGCAGAAAATAAGACTTTATTTACAAAAGTAAAACACAGTAAGATGTAGTGAAGTTAATCTAAACGTTAATACTGGATTTACAGCTTTCCCCGCCCTTTGTCACAGCATGACTGTACATTGTATTAAACTGTTTCAGACATTTGTAGAATTGTTTCTTGTTACATTGAGGCTTCAGACCAAACATAAAAAACATTAAAACTTTCTGAGCTTGCGTGTGCGCTTCTCTATAAACATGGAGGTTTTGTTGTTTCATCACACGGATATCCAAAAAAAGCAAAATACAACAAGTAGTAAAGAGGTTTAATTGAATTAATATGAAAAAAAGACACGTCAAAACAACAAACTGATCATATAAGAATTACCCCGGCTTTCCACTGGAGCCGTCAGCGGCGCGAGTCGGCCGCGTCTCAGGAGCAGCATGTCGCGGCCTTTACGCGCCGGTTCTATTTTCTACGCGCGACGCCTCTGAAACGGGTCAAGTTCGACATTTTTGGGGAAGGAAAGACAGGAAATCGGACGCGGAAATGGAGAGAAGCTCCCGAGATTTTCAGAATAAAGAATGTACTGACTTCCGGTTGCTTTACTTTTAAAAAAGGTTACTAACTGTGCGTCCCCGTGAGAAGTTATCACCTAGCTAGCGGTCTCCTTTGTTTTTCAGGTCCGTATTGGCGATTATAAAACGAACAGAACATAAAACACAAACCATGTTGTAGTTTTCTCCTGCTTGTTGTTGTGTTTACTGACGAAGTCACTCATGTGACTTCGTGCTCGGTCAGTGACAGCTGCTCCCCTGCTGCTTCGCGTCTCGTGGGAAGGGCCAAGCAGCAGCTTACGCAAGCAAGACGTGCTGCTGCAGTAACGTGCTGCTGACGGCTCCTGTGGAAACCCGGGGTTAGAAGCTCTGGAGCTACAGAAAAACAGCACAAAAATAAAGTCTAAAAGGACATTTTTACAAACAGTGCTTCTGTGTTGTGTGTGCGTGTGCGTGTGTGTGTGCGCGTGTGTGTGTGTGTGTGTGTGTGCGTGCGTGTGTGTGTGCATGTGTGTGTGTGTGTGTGTGTGTGTGTGTGTGTGTGTGTGTGTGTGTGTGTGTGTGTGTGTGTGTAGTTGCTGCAAGTTCAGAGGAACTTCAAACGTCAGAGGAACGGAAGCGTTCACTTTCTTATGAAGTAAACATTAAGAGATTGCCAGGAGCTAAAGCTAAGAAAAACCAGGGCAGTGATGATGTTTGTGTGGATGGACAGCAGCTGAAGGATGAAGGAGACAAACTGAGACCTGCTGAGCTGTAGCTTATGAAACACAGCACTTGGTTTTATGTACAGCTGGTACATAGAAGGAGTCATTAAAACTGGGAGGCGTGGCTTATTTCTGTTCAATTAGGAGATGAAAACTGGTGACGGTGGTTGTCGTGTCTAGAATTCCTTTTGCACGTTGATTAGAACACCGACTCAGGAAGCACGGTTAGAGCGGCTGTGTGTGGTGCGAGTTCAGATGAAAACATGTCGGTGTAAAATCCTTCATCAGTTCAGCTGAATCTGTGGAGATCATCAAAATAAAAACCGAGGAGCCGCATTGCTCCTCTGTGTGAGGAAAACTACAGCGACTGTAAAGATAAGAACTAAAGAGAGCATGACTTACAAAACTGCACACACACACACACACACACACACACACACACACACACACACACACACACACACACACACGCGTGCACACACACAGCCAGTGTTCAAAATTTACAACAGTATAAGTCTGAACTGCATTAAGGTCACAGAGATCAATCCCTGCATGGATTTAAAGGGTTTATAATTCTTTAAAAAGGTCAGACTAGCTGAAGGTTTTGGTCAGTGACTGAGGAGGAACCTGGGTCGTGTTTTCAGCAGCAGATTCAGGCCCTGTCCACACGTAGCCGGGGATCTACCAAAACGTAGATATTTTTCTACGTTTTGGCCTGTCATCCACACGAAAACGGAGTTTTTTCACACGAAAACGGATCTTTTTAAAAACTCCGGCCAAAGTGAAGATCTGCGTTTTCTCCGTTTTGGGTGTCTGCGTGTGGACAGACAAAACCGGAGTTTTAAGGTCCGCCAACGTCACTTTCCGCGACAAAAAAATGCTGACATCACGTGTGCGACCTGTGTTTACACTAGCCGACAGCATGGATGCCCTCAGAGCTGCGCTCGCTTTATCAATTGTCCAAGCGCTTTTTGCTGGTTTGTTTTTGCAAGCGGAATTACTGCTCCTTGCGGAAGACCACAGACGAAGGACGAGGTTAAGAACGGGGGAAGTACTGCCGCCTACAGGTCTGGCATGTCCTTAACAACGTATTTATCCGGGTATGTGTGGACGGAGTTTTTTCTAAAACGAGGTGGTGTGGATGCAAGTTTTTTGGAGGGGCGGATATTCGTTTTTAAAAAAAACCCGGCTACGTGTGGACTAGGCCTCAGAGGGTGTGAGCGTAGAGGTGCTGAGGCTCAGCAGTCAGATCAGATACCAGAGACCATGTGAAGGGAGAGAGAGATAACGAGCCCTGCTGGCAGCTGATGAGTGAGTTGTGGTGATCATGCTGATTCTTCACGGTGACAAACAGGTGGTGAACCTGGAGCAGACACAAACACACCATAAATACCACACGGTCAGAGTGCACGAGACCAGATCTGAAACTAGATTTAATATTGGTTTGTCTAAGAATCAGAGACAAACGATGCCTCGGAGTGCTTTTGTCTAACACGTAGCAGGAAGCATCTCCCACACTGAGAGGATCTCATCGATTTAAAGCCTCCTAAAGAGCAATCATGATAAAGCAGTCCATCCACTAATAAATAAATGTAAACAGCAGCAAAACAAAATCATGGCCGTAAAAATGCCAATACGCCGTCGGCCGCGATAAATGTCTCTCCAGCTGGCCGTCCTGGTGGTAATTAATGAAAAGAAAGCCTGCAGTGCATTTAATGTGTAGCAACAGCGGCAGCAGAGAGGATTGGATCGACATAGATCAGCAGAAGGTGCTGATCGCCTGTGATCAAGCTGCACCGGACACAAAGGTGCGCCTGTGTCCCGCAGGCACTTCATCTTACTTCACACCGAGTCCAGCGGGCTGCTTTGGTTATGGCTCTCCTGGGAGCAGACCTGAATTACTCCGATTGCTCTCTGAATCTAGCTTCTGGAAGCACCTACATCTTACCTAGACACACTAACACACACTCTTACCAAAAAGAAGGATTGGAGTCAATGGTTATTCGTCTTTAGTTGGAAAAACAGGAAAACCGGCTGTAGGAGAAACAGAGAACCGTTAAGAGTCACTCCAGGAGGCTGATTTACTGCCTGTGGGATATTAATGATTTTTAAACGCTTACCTTATGGTCTCCCATACAGACGTTAGGACCTACTGTGTTGTAAACAACACTCTTCTCTTCTTCTTCATCATCATCGCTCTGAAAACAACAATGAACCTGATCATTCGTACTCAGACCTAAAGAATCACGTGTGGAGACACGCAGGGTGCAGAGAGTTAGGACGGACCCAGTGGATGAGGTCGTCGGCGGTGTGGGACATGAGGATACGGTCACACCAGGCAGGGCAGCGAGTGTTCATGTAGCGGGTCGGCTGATTGTGGTCTTCACTGTATGGGTAGCTGTATGGGTAAAACATAACAGTGTGTAAGAATAAAAGCAAGAAAACTGAAGGAGTTATTTACATCTTATTTGCAGCACATTTCATCATCTTACCTGGGAGGAAACGTGATGTCCACTTCTCTAATGATGTCACAAAACGCTCGCACTTCTTTGTCATATTTCAAAAGCTGAGGGATAGAAAATTTCCAAATGATGATGAATTGCGATGAATTTCCAATGACAGACGTAGCAGTTTGGTTGTTTCTATAGTTCTCGTTTGTTTGTCTGGTTTTGTGCCGACAGGATGTAATATGAAATATTTGTCAGCGTGTTAAATCGTAGCGCCATAACCTGAGACCGGATTCTTACCGCTTTGCCATTGTCCTCTCTGAAAAAGGCCTCGTGCAGATATTCAAACAACTTCTCCTCGATATGAAGCACCAACTGAGAAGGAGACAAAGCAGGACAAATTAAAAAACAAGCCTAAACCAACATTTTTAATGAAATCCAACAAGTTCTGGTTGAAATCACCTGGTGGGTGCTGTCCTTTTCCTCACATATGATCTTCTCCACTTCGTTGGTGCTGTCCTTCTTCACCGTCTGCATTTCTGTTTCAATGGACAGATGCTGGAAGCAGAAACACCGATGGGTGTTTAGACGAGATGTCAGGCTGAAACATCCTGTTATCACTCAAGCTTTAAGAAGAACGGATGCAGAAACAAACCTCAACCACACTAAGGGTGTCAAGACGGAAGTTAAAGTCTCCAAACAGGAAAAACGGCAGAGCAGTGAAGCGGCTGTCAGATATCCTGGAGGAAATGATAGAAATGAATGCTGTCAGGCCTTTTTATTGTGCCGTGAATGTGTTAAATTTCACAAAAACGCCCAAGTTCATCTAAATTCCTACAGGATATGTACTAGATCCATACTCGGGGTGCGCTTTATTTATTATTCTGCAGATATCGGCGACATTTCTAAAACATCTCACCTGTTGATGACATATCTGAGAGCATTTTTACGATTGCCTGAATAAACAGAAGGACTGGAATTACAGGCAATAAGGTTGGAGGCATCGTGGAACAGGTGGATGTTGACCAGGTCTACACCTCTGTGAAGAAAACACACACACACACACACGACATGTGGTAGGTGCTAAAACATGTATCACTTTAGTGTTTAAAAACACGTGTGAGAGTTTTAGAACTCTTTCCTTTTGAGTATCAACGGAAGACAAATGCTCTACACCCTGCTAAGTAGCTTTTACCAGCTCAGTGGTCTAGTGGTAGAGTGTCCGCCCTGAGACCGGGAGATCAGGGTTCGATTCCTGGTCGGGTCATACCAAAGACTTTGAAAAAATGGGACCCAATGCCTCCCTGCTTGACACTCAGCATTAAGGGGTTGGATTGAGGGGTTAAACCACCAAATGGTTCCCGAGCGCGGCTGTGTCTGCAGCTCACCGCTCCCCCAGGGGATGGGTCAAATGCAGAGAACAAATTTCGCACACACATCAGTGTGTGTGACAACTAATGGGACTTTAACTTTTAACTTGTTGACTTACAGAATAATCCTGAAACATGAATTAAAGACTTTTAGTTTACAGGATTATTTTTGACACTAAAGTTGGATTCCCACATCCACATTTAAAGGCTTATCCCATTTCAACTTAATACATTTTGAGGGTATTTATTAAGTTTAATAAACAATATTTAATCTGTGCATACCACAGGATTAGAAGCCTCTTAGGTGTGTTCTTGCTGTGTCGTTTCTCTAATTCCATGCTGTAGTTCTTTTTTAAAACAGAACTGCTCTGTGTTTTAAAAAAGAACTACAGCATAGGATTAGAAGCCTGATCTGGATTTTACAATGATGAATGTAACCTTGAACTTTGGCTCACTCGGCTTTGTTCAGAGCTGGAGTAACAGCCGTTTTATGACCTCATGAAGGCAGAGGAAATGATCGGCAAAAGCAACAATGACATCACCATGCAATAAAATGTAGTGATAAAGAGATGGTTTTTTAATAAAGAGGGGATGAGTAAGTAACCAGTGTCGCACCTGCAGTGAAGAGCGGTTTGTGTGATCTTAGGTTTTATGGAGAAATCCCGACTAACATAGTGACAGCCATAAAATGAGTCTTGTAACCGAGGGTTTCCACCGGATGTGTAAGCAGCGCGTAATGTAAAAGACACGTCACTTCCTACTGGAAGCGTTTTGGAGGCAAAGTGGCCTTGAATTCATTCCACTCAGCTGGTCCTGCAACATCATGAAATCACAGGAGAATTGCAAGGTCACACATGATTTTGTTCATTCATGCGACAACAAGCAAGGAAAAAGTCAGCATATAGGGAGCCTAAGTCACACCCATCTACTTCCGGACCACGGGTCCCCAGAAGAACGAAAAAATTAATGCCAGTCAATGGAGCTAAAAACGCTATTTTCAAATTCTGCTTGTTTTGTGCCATGGTTTCACATATGATGTCCGTAAATTTGAAAGACACATTTTGATACCAAGAAAGTGCTTATTTTTGCATGGGGGGATGCTATTTTAGTTTTTGTGTGAAAAAAAAGTCCAGGACTACAAATGCGCTTCATGAAAGTGATGTCATCGAACCGGACACGGACAAAAACTGAGGGAAAAGGGCTGTGTGTTCAGCAAACTTCAAATCCTTCCTTCAGGAGGAAAGAACCACCATAAATTTGGCCATGTGGTAAGTAGCAGCTACGTTAGGGGAGAGGAGATTCTGTGGTGACGTCACATATGCGACGTGCCGATGTCTTGTGTGTAGTCATGCTAATTGCAAACATTTACAAGCTGATAAATCACAAATTACGTGACTGGTGTGGTCGAAACACCCATCATTAGTTTTCATTTAAATTGCAGTACAACATAAGTGCGATCCAGGGTCTGAGGCAAAGCGGATTAGGAAATAGCTCTTGTAGCCCCGTTGACTAATTAGGGTTGAGCATCGAGCATCGATTGGAACCGGTTCCAACTGTTAGCTTTTCCCGGAATCGTTCAAAGTTTTTTATTTCGATTCCTAGAATGCCGAAGAGGAATCTGCGGCCGATCTCCTTGAAAAATAAACGTGATCTGCAAATTGTGGTCAACGCTTTCCAGAGCTGATCACACCTGCTGTCTGTGTGCAGCACCGAGTCCCCCCTCCCCCCACCCACACCAGCTTCTGCCACAATAAATAATTATAATAATAATAATGATAATAAATCACACACAAAGTTGTGAACATTTTATTTCCTTTCTGAACTATTTCTGTTGAGAGTTTTAATGTTTAAAATCTGTTAGTGACAGCAGCTACGTTTAGGTTTCACTTTCTGTACTGACTGAATGCTGCTGCAGCATGGAGGTGTAGTTCTCAGTCATCCTGGACATGATCATCCTGAGAGTTTTAGCTGAAAACAGCTGAACGTTCCTGGATATGTTGGAGACATTTAGCCTCTCATCCCAGAGGCTTCTTCCAGACTTTGGTTGTGGTCAGAAACAAACACACTGGTTGTGCTGCAAGTCTTTTTCTTTTTTTCTCCAAAACACAGTCCTACTTATTTCATCAAGTAGGACTGTGGTTAGCTAGCTCATGTAAAACATGTCATGTCTTGAAAGAATTTAAATCGGGAATCGATAGGAACCAGAATCGAAACAAGGAATTGGAATTGTTCAAATCAAATGATGCCCAACCCTAGTTGTCTTGCATTCATTTTTTCATTCTTCCGGGGACCCATGAGCTGACCAGAAGGGAAGAAGACTTACCCCAAAATTCCACTACCTCCACTTCGCTGCGCTCCGCTCCGGCACGAACTCCGCAGCAAAATCGGTCCCGTTGTAGTCAATCAAAGCTGTTCCACTACTGCGGCCGTGCGGCACAGTGCGCCGCCCGCCGTTCCGCCATCCGGCAAAAATAGGATAGATTCTATTTTTGCCGGACGCCAGAGCACCTCCGCAGTCAATGGACAGAAATCACAACCGCCCAACAGGAAAGGGAGCAAGCACAGCTTCCGTTATTTCACAATAAATCGATAAACAAAAAGCATTTTTTGTTTCATATGCACAGGTTTAACAACTTTTAACAACTATCAATGGCGGCTGAACTTTAAATGCATGAAAATAAGCCATAAATACAGTTTCCACTATCAAAGTAGTCACACGTTGTTGATCCAAACACTGCTGATCTCTCAACACAAATGATGGGCAGATTAAACAGTTCATTTCGATGCTTCTCCCACACAACGGGTGTTTGGATCTAACGTCCGCGTTTATTGCTCAGACTGTATTGCAAGATCTCGAAAATCCTGTGCATGCTTGTTTGCCCACCTCAGGTCTCCGCACCGGAGCAGAGCCGTTGTAGAGCGGGTACCAGTAAAAATTGAGTTCGGAAGCGAGCGGCTGCGGAAGGCGGGGGCGGAGCGGAGGTAGTGGAATTTTGGGGTTAGGCTCCCTATATCCAAAAGAGTAGTGGTGAATTTTCTGTTCTTTATACCCTTGGCCATGATGGTTTTTTTGGGGGGGGGGGGGGGTTAAAGAAAATATGCAGATTTTTTTGTCAGAGGTCGCCATCTAGAGGCGTAAAATTGTATTGCACCGTAAGCCACTCTCCCTAATCTCTCTTTTGTGAACTGGGAGCATAGTGCGCAAATAAATACACCCAAAATTGTGAGCAATGCGCTACTACACTTCTGTAACGTGCCGCTGCAAACCCACTGACAACAACAGTGGCTATTAGCTGTATATTCAGCTTCGCAGATGTCATGCACTGCTTATGCATGAGCTGGAAATTTGGGGTGCGACTGAGTGTGGAGCAAACAGCCCTTGTGCTGTACTGTAGTGTTACATACTGGTTGTGTATGAGCCAACGAGTCCTCATGAAGCCCTTCCTGGACCACTTGAACTGCAACGAAGACAAATAGGAGTGAATAACTAAAAAATGGTGAGCCGTGTCTTTAAAAAGTCAAGCTGATCATTATTGATCCTTGCACATAATCTGTCTCATCTCCCTGTCAGAGCAGTCACACATCCCCAGTGGCCCCAGTAGACTCATTTGTCCCAACATCTCTTTGGCCCATGAGTACTCCTTCCATACCTCTCTCCACACACTCCTCCATACATACTCACATCAGGCCAGAAATTCTTTGGGAATTTTTCTTTCTCCACAGTGGCGACCCTGTCCAAAGAGCCCACATGCTTGTTCTTCCCCTGCACTGCTTTAAAATCCTTAACTGTGAGAGAGAGGCCGGGTGACATGGAAAAGAGTGAGAAAACATGCAAACAGCAATCAATAAACTGGTGTTAACCTCATCAGAGTGGCATACGTGATGAGAGAATCTATAGGCGGGCCATTAGACTTAGTTTGGCCAACGACAACCGCTTTGGGCCACACAGCGAGTGGCAGCTCCGGGATGTTTATGGTTCTTCCATAAGCTTTTCTGTGGAGCTTTTTCACATCCAACGTGACCGGACTATGCAGCAGCTAAATACCAGCTCCACTTTAAATTCTAGGTCTTTGCAAATACCTGGCTGGGAAGCGTAGCCATCAAATGATCAATACACAAACATCTTAAAATGCCTTTTGACACAAAAAACGCAACATTTTGGCAACAGTGTGCAACATGTTGCTCTTATTATAGTAGAATCAGTTTGTCAAAACAGTGAGTTTGTGTTTTCCGAGTAAAAAGATGGTTAGATGGAACTTTTACCATTAAAGTCATATTGATAGATGTTTTTCAGCGTTTTGTGGATGAAGTACATGCTTCCCAAAGCCTGCAGAAAGAACACAGAAACATCAGAAATGATCTAAAAACTAAACTATTGCTCAACAAATTAAGAGAAAATATAGACTAAATTACTTTACTATCAACATTTTAATGTGTTAGTCTGCTGAATCTGGTCCCCGACACATTACTCTTGATTTGCAGATTACAGAACCACAGCGGCAAAATATAGTGTGTGTGGATACGCTAGATGTTGAACAAAATATAACAAACGTGTTATTTTTATTGTCTGAAGAAAAAAAAAAGTGAAACTTGAAAGAATAAAGCTGTCCGGTGCTGCCTCTTACTCACTTCAGTGCCCAATCATTCCTGACAAGGGGTTGACAATTTTTAATGTACTAACTGCCTGCTCCACTGATCTGATTAATCATGCCCTGCAAAATCAATAAAGACAGAAAATTAAAACCATTTAAAAGGTATTAAGCAGCAGGTCTGCTGTCTGCCAGTGCGCCCGTGCTGAGTGGGGGCTGAAGAAAAATCAGCCACCACACGTAGGGCTTGGGGCGTGACGGACCACTGTGTGACACCCCACCCCACCCCTTCACACACACACACACACACACACACACACACACACACACACACACACACACACACACACACACACACACACACACACACACATCAGCCAGAGCATGAGAGATCTCTCCCTGAAGAGATCGTTTATCTTCTGTGCCAAAGTTGTCCTCATTTAATAGAATGGAAGTGTCTCCCCTGACGGCTTCAGTGAACAGCAATTAGTGACCGACTTGTCTAAACTAAGGTTAGATCTCGCCTGAGGAGTTCCTCAAACCAAACGGAGAGAGTTGGTGTCAGAAGAATCTTGCTGCAATGCAAAAAAAGTGACATGTTTGTGTCAGAAGTGGTGGAACTTCTACAGAAATAAATAAAAATAGGAACTTGAAGGAAGATAATAGCGAAACATAGTTAATGTTGGGTTCTTAAAAATGTTTTATACAGCTCAGCACACACACACACACACACACACACACACACACACTCTCTCTCTCTCTCTCTCTCTCTCTCTCTCTCTCTCGTCTTCACATACTCTGCCAAACACCTATCTTCATCAATCAGGTTTGTGCACAGTTTAATAAAAAACTATTGACTTTAAAGTGATTTTTTATCAAAACACCATTTGTACTGGGGATTCATGTGAGTCTGCCACCTCTACTCCTGCAGTCCATGTGAAAGGAGACCCCCCCACCCCCACACCCCCTTACTCCCAAACTCTCTCTTGGCTTTATAACTGATGATTTTCAGCCAAGGGGAAACAAATTGAAAATCAATGCAAGTGGCACAACCGAAATGAGAATGAGGCATTATGTGGGGTGGCGGTCGGGGGGAGGGCTGCAACCCTCCCAGGGCAAACAGTGAAGGGTGCAAACACTTGAGTGCAGTGGGAACTTAGTCCCATCTGTCCTCCGCACACACACACACACACACACACACACACACACACACACACACACACACACACACACACACACACACACACACACACACACTTAATGTATGGTGTACAAATGGGCTGGGATCAATAGTTTTAATCTGGAGTTAAATGTATTGAGTTAGGCTGGTATTTTCCACACCTGGTCATTGACACCCACCCCCCCCCCTCCCCCCACCCCCCCAACCACCACCACCACCACTACCAACACACACACTCACACACACCTCGAGTCTAATGATGCAGCCACTGACCCCTGCTGTCAGCCGAGCAGTGTGAGGGGATCACCTGGGAGGAGGAAGGGTTAATACTTACAAGCTCAGACACTGACTTGAGGTGTTTCACCCAACAGTCAGAGACAGAAAAACACTGACAAGTCTTGTTATGGGGACGCAGGACCAAGGGACTAAAACACAGAGTAAATAATCTCATGAATCTAGTTCACGCTGCTCTTAAAGACTTCTGGGTTCAGCAGGAGCGACTTAACAGACTTGTCTGCCTCGTTACCGTGCCACATCCACTGGGCAGCAGTAGCTCAACAGGCTGAGCAGGTTGTCCAGTAATCGAAAGGTTGCAGGTTCCAACCTAGCTCCGGACAAAGTTCTGCTGTTGTGTCCTTGGCCAAGACACTTAACCCACCTTGCCTGCTGGTGGTGGTCAGAGGTATCTGTCAGTGCGCCCCAGGGCACCTGAGGCTTTATTGTAGCTCATCACCATCAGTGTGTGAATGGATGAATGATGCACTGTAGTGTAAAGTGCTTTGGGGTCCTCTGGCTGTGAATGGCGCTATTCAAGTGAGGGTCATTTACCATTATCATATTGCTTTGCCCTATAAGACCTCTCTCTCTCTCTCTCTCTCTCTCTCTCTCTCTCTCTCTCTCTCTCTCTCTCTCTCTCTCTCTCTCTCTCTCTCTCTCTCTCTCTCTCTCTCTCTCTCTCTCACACACACACAAACACACACACACACACACCTTGTATCCCTCTAGCCTGGGTGCACAATGTATGAAGCTCAATTACAGGTAAACATAAACAGAAATAACCCAATTACAAACAACTAAAACACCCTTAAACCAGTAGAGACAGTAATTATTTTTAATTCGTCCATCTAGTCAGTCATTTATTTAGGCTTAAACTTACTAATAGTTGAGTATAACTAGTACTTATAGTTTAAACTCATAACTTCATATCTAGTAAAGTACTGGCGTGATATCAGCAACTGCTACAAGGAACCAACCATAGTCTGGAGCCGCTGCTGAGGCTGTATTAACATGGAGGAGAGCTCCACCTTGTGGAAGGACGCAGGAATTCCTTCTAAGTGTTTGCTTCCTTACCGTGAAGGTGTCTTCTGATTGGAACTCGTTGTCTATGTAAATGGAAACCCTGTCAAAGTCTTTCATCTCCTCGCTGGACTCGATGTTACTGGGATGAGCAGAGCACAGAAGAGAGAGAAGAAACGTAGTTTTAATCGGAGGTGCAGCTGATTTAATGCCTTACAATCAGCTAATCAGTTTGACTGAATGTTTAACAGTTTTATTCTAAACCGACAGCATGAGGTGGTTGTACATGATTCATACCAGAAAAAGTTTTCTGCTTGGCCCATGTTGACCATGTAGTCCTTCCCTCCAACCTCCTGGAAGTGCAGAGCGATGAACTGTGGCTTGTGTTTGCTGATTGTCTGTTCCAAAGGGAAAAAAGCTGAGTGCAGCAACTGGACAACATCAGTCATTTAAAGATAGAAGTTTATTATTGAAGGTCATTGTTTTAATGTGGGCGTTCATGCTAAAAATAATCAGCACAGTGAAGGTTTTCTTGAGGAAGAATGTTTAGAAGCAGATGTCACTGAAGTATTTCTTAATGAGAAATCAGCTAAAATGTGTCAAAATGATAAAAGTCATGCAAGTAAGAAATGTTCAAACTTACCTTATACAATTCCTGTAGCCATCCATTTTGCATTTCACCAACCTTGAAAAAGACAGATTACAATCACTGGGAAAATTCAGACGTCATTCACTTATTTACCTGTTTGAATCGGGCTTGGACACAAAATAAAACAGAAGAAGACATTTTTTTATTTCAGAAAAAACAGCTAAACTATATTAGCCTGGCTAGCCACACCCCAAAGCACTTTAAAGGTGTGAGAAACGTGTTTTTTCGATACATTTGCAGGAGTCTCTAGTAGGAATGAATGCCTTGCAAGTCGCACTCAGGGCGAAAATAATAATACGTGAAATGTCTGGATCAGCAGGAACAAGTCTGTCACATCAGAGGAAAGCTTAACATGGCAGGATTGGAGTCTTATTTCCTGATATTTTGACATCTTGTCTCTGATTGGATAACAGCAACACAACTAGGGTTGGGCATCATTTGATTTTGAACGATTCCGATTCCCATTCCTTGTTTCGATGAGTTAGAGTTAGGGTTAGACGGGTTAGGGTTAGAGCTAGCTGACCACAGGTCCTACTTGATGAAATAATCTTAACTTCAACATGAATTTTAATTCTATGAACAATAATGTCACCTTCATTTAGACAAAAACATGTTTTTAAGAAAAAAAGAAAACGACCTGCAGCACAACCAGTGTGTTTGTTTCTGACCACAACCAAAGTCTGGAAGAAGCCTCTGGGATGAGAGGCTAAATGTCTCCAACAGATACAGAAACGTCCAGCTGTTTTCAGCTAAAACTCTCAGGATGATCATGTCCAGGATGACTGAGAACTACACCTCCATGCTGCAGCAGCATTCAGTCAGAACAGGAAGTGAAACTTAAATGTAGCTGCTGTCAGTAACAATCTAACAGATTTTAAACATTAAAACTCAACAGAAATAGTTCAGAAAGGAAATTAAAAAAATGTTCACAACTTTGTGTGTGATTTATTATTATTATTATAATTATTTATTGTGGCAGAAGCTGGTGTGGTCCACCACAGAGAAAGCTGCTCTAGCATGATGACTTTATTCTACAGGTTATTGTTCAGCCTTCTGATTCTCACGCGTCTGACTGCTGACACTCCTGCAAGGCAAATGTGCTACAAAGCATGCAGCCCAGTGTGATGTATTTATAAATCATAGAGGTGTGTCTGAGAACTTTGGCTTTGAAAGTATATTGGCTATTTGACAGCAAATCAAGCTGCATGAAAGTAAGTATATTAAACTAAATTATGAGATGTTTCACCTCTCATCCAGCAGGCTTGGCTGTTCTGATCATAGGCTTAAATGTCAAGGCTTCAAGTCACTGGAGAACAATCACTCGTTAGAGCGGATGTAACACCCTGAGTTGAGTTGTTTGAGGTTTTATTTTCTTTTAAAGAGCAAATCATCCCTAAATGAACTTTTGTTGCTGATAAACTGTATAGATGGGTTTCTAATAGAGCTGTAAACATGCACAGTCATTATTTTGTCATTTTAGTCCATCTTATTTAAAATTTCAACCTAAAACCATCATTATTGCTCCATCTTGATTTTGAATTAGCCATGTCTTCCGGCTAAGAGGTACCAAGTGACGTTGCTGGTAACGTATTATGTGGCTACACTGCACTAAACTGCAGTTGAGGTAGTCCGGCCCCTCACCAGTCGATACGAAACGATACAACTCAGAGCTATTTGCCTCCTTAAAATAATGTTCTCCTCCGGTGAGTAAAGTGTCTGGGTGTCCGCACACATAAGTTGTTAGTGGCTCTTTTCTTCAACTGAGAACCTACAAAAGTGAGTTGAGGAGAGTCCTGTAAGTCTCAGCACTACTCTCTCGGTCCGCCAGGCAACGCCTCCTTTAGGTGCATTTTTCAAGCATCAAGTGTGGGAGGGGGGTGACCAACCCTTTAACAACAAAAAGTGGTAATAAACAAATGCCTTAGGGTGTGACTTCATGTGAATCTGCCTGAGGAAAAGAGTCAGGGCTGAACTATAGCTTTTAAGAGGATTAATACTATGACACTCTGAAATGTGCACGTTACTGTCCTCAAAAGCATGTTCCTTAGCAGACAGGTGTGAGTGCATCTGCATGTATGGGGAGAAGATGGCCTGGTGTCAACAAGGGCAGCAGAGAAGCCATTTTTTCCCTACATAAAGACATCAGGGTCAAACACATATTCTGTAAAATTTATAGAGATTGGACTGCCGAGGACAGTTTAGGGGCATCCAGAAAAAGAATTATCCTGAAAACAAAGAGTTATTAAGCACTACTAGAGCTCGACCAACATTGATTTTTCTATTACCGATACCAATGCGTGACACCGAGCTGCCCGAGGATGTGCCTGCTTTTAAATCGACTTTACTGAGGACAAATATCGGCCGATGTCAATGTATAAAAAAAATTTAAATAAAAAGATAAATATCAGCAGTGGTAAAACATTCGGATATGCTTAACCATAGCACACCTTAACGTCATCCAAATGTAACTCTGCCCAGCCATCCAAGTACAGTATGGCAATGAACAACTCTTTTTCCAGCACAATGACGCATCATGTCATTAGACACTACATACATAAGCCATAAAGTGGCTCGGGCATCAAAACATCAAAATGATGGGTCCATCGCCAGGAAACTTTCCAGAAATTCATCCCTTTGAGAACTTGTACAAGTGCATGCTAAACCAATGCTAACTGACAAGCCTGCTAGAAGGGAACTATATGGGCCATGAAAAATACCAAGACTGCAATTATGAACTCTTCTATAAACTTAAAGTAATTGTCAGTAAATGCTTATGAAACCTGGCATATCTGAGAAATATCTGAGAAAAGCTATAAAAAAACTAAAGTAGAACATTTTGGGAAAACTGATAGATTCTATAAACATGTGGTCCAGCTACAATATGAACTCATGGAGGAGGAACTGCATTTCTGACAGACTCACCAGATCCCCCGAGGCTCACTAGACAGCTTGTAATAATCATATAGATTATACCAGATTTAACTCACATGCACATGCTGCATTGATGCTTAATCTCATTTGACATGGATTTCTGATAGATGTGACCCCACCCATGTTGAAGTGTGTATCGTGCCACAATGGGAGATACCATCACAAAGGTAACTTGTTGAAATACTTCTACAGGTCTACAGCTTTAATGTGGTGCTGAATGATGTGATTATGGTCATTTGTAATATTCCTCAAAACACGTTTAAAGTGGCAATGTGTCCATTTTACCATTAATCTCTGGAAATATCCATTCAAAAGTTGTTGTAAATGAATTAAAAGATGCCTAGTTGTTGATAAATATTGGCAGTTTCTTAATATATAACCATAAAAATTGGGTCTAAAATACATGGAGTGGGTCCAAGTCTCTGGGAAACGCCATATTGGATGCCATGTTTCCTTCTACGGAAGCCCGTGAGGACAGAATGCATTTACTGATTTGTAAGAAACGGTTAAAAAACTTTCAGCATTAATAAACGTTCTTTTACACATTTACCTCTTCGCTCGTTGGCACTGATGAAAGGAAATCTGATGTTCTTGTTATTTTGCTGGAGGTTACACTCCCAAGGATTTTTGACCGCAATGGCCATCCGTTGGTAAGGTCTTACTTGAAAACAAAAATAATGCTTGCTTACAATGATTTAGGTATCTACTGCCCCCTATCGTTCACATGGAATTGCTTTGATTTTTTTTCCATATTGCCCACCCCTCGTTACACACACGCAAATCTGGTTACACTGGCAATGACTGATACTATATTTTATACAACTACATAAAAAAGTGTGTGATTTAGCATTATTTGCCATGTAATTGTTGTCCTTTTATAGGTTAAGACTAAGATAGAGAAAAATTAATGTACTACTTTTTCTAATTAAATCCATCCATCCATCCACTTTCATTCGCTTATCCGGAGTCGGGTCGCAGGGGCAGTAGCCTAAGTCGAGAGGCCCAGACTTCCCTCTCCCCAGCCACTTGGGCCAGCTCCTCCGGGGAAATCCCAAGGCGTTTCCTGGCCAAGTGAGAGACATAGTCCCTCCACTGTGTCCTGGGTCTATCTTTAGGTCTCCTCCCAGTTGGACGTGCCTGGAAAACCTCAGCAGGGAGGCGTCCAGGAGGCATCCTGACCAGATGCCCGAACCACCTCAACTGGTTCCTCTCGAAATTTTTCTAATTGAGAAATCTTTATCTTTCAGTGCAGTTCAGTTCATTTATTCAATCCATTTTCCTCCACTTGTCCGAGGTCGAATCCTTAGGCTCTCCCAGAAGGCATCCTCCCAGGAGGCATACTAAAGATGCCCTAGCCACCTCAACTGGCACCTGTATGGAGCTAGGATTGGGACAATATTCAGCGTAACTTGTACCAAGTTTTATAACTTCAAACATGTTTCATCACATGTAACTTTGGATTTGTAACTTGTAACTTTGGATTCGTAACTTGTAACTTTAGTTTTCTAACTTGTAATTCTCAATTCGTACTTGTATTTCTTGTTTTGTAACAGGAACATTGTATTTTGTAAATGTATTTTTTATTTTGTAAAATCAAACTATTATTTTGTACATTTACTACTCATTTTGTAACATCAAACATTCATTCAGAAACATGAAACTTTTGTTTTGTAACTAGCAGACTTCCAAATTGAAAAAAATCAAGGTACAAGTTTGAAATCAAAACTCTCAAAACACACATTTCATTCTACAGGTACAAACCTCAAATCTACAGTGTTACAAATCTTTTTGTCTCGATTCTAGCATCAGTGGGAGGAACTTGGGTGGAACCAATGAGAGCACGAGTCTTAGCTACCAATCGCGTTTCTCGAATTCCTGTCCAATCATTGGGAGAGGAGGGCAGGCAGGGTTGTGGCAAGAACAAATATACTCTGGTTTTTATGGCATTTACTGGAGTTGTGGTAAATCATTTTAACAGCATAGCTGTGAAAGCACATTTTGTACACAGCCATCTAAGCATTCTGCCACAGTATCTATACTGGACTTTGATTGGGCTATTGCAACACTAGCACTGCTTTTTCAGATATCATGTTGCAGATTTGCTG